GTAAACGTAATTTATGGTCGATGTGCACGCGGTACACGCATGAGTTCCCGTTCCATTCTTCGCGCGGTTGCAACGCCTCTAGCATTGGATGATAAAAAATGCGACAAAAGGAAAAAAAAAAGGTTAAGAAGAGCTTTTATTTCACTTGTATGGCTTTACAAAAATTCTTCCGTTTTATGTTTCATTTTTTTCACTTTGCATCTACCCACTCTTGTATTGTCTCCCATAAGATATTAACCCCCACAAACGCGTCAAAACCTATTCTATATCATACTTCCGAATTATTACTGATCACTTTCCTAAGAACAGGCCTTATGTCGGAGCCAGGGGCCAGTCATTAGTTCAGTAGGAACAGAGAAGATTAGTCGTCCCTACAGAGCCCGTACTCGGGGGGGAGGAGGGTGGTAATTTAAAACTTGCCCGGTTGTAGTGGGGAATTTGAACCGAGAGTATTAAGTCTTTCAAATGGAATACAAGTGTTTTCTCTTTTAACATGGAGGTGCTTAAAAGTAAAATGCTTATTTCATGAGCGATCGGCTCATGAAAAAAGTTGTACAAGGGTTAGGGTTTAAGCCTAGTTAATAAGCAGAAAGTCACGGTCCCTCATTTTGCCTTTTACCGAAAAAATTAACCATCAACTCCGGCTGGAACTTAGGCAGGGTCGTGTTTGAACACAATTTTGGCCCCAAGGCACATGAATTAGAACAAACCAGTATTCAAAAGTTCAAATGTCCAGGGGGTTACGTGGTTCGATGTTGAAGCTTCGAATTGATCGAAGCAAAGCAAAAACGTATTTCTTAGGGAAGGGAGTTAATTTTTTCATCAGAGACTATTTGCGTCAAAGAACCTTCCCTTTCTAATTAATAGGTAATTACTGAGGCATATGGCATTATGAGAAATATTGCAGCCAGCTGAGGCCGTAGGTCGAATCTGGCTGCAATATTTCTCATTAGTGCCTCAGTGATTATCTATTATAATTATTGATCCCCGTGAAATCCTATTGTTGTGTCTGTGTTGGATCTTCGATTTCAGTCGCACCTCGAGTATGAAGAGGGGACTGGACTACGGAAAATATACTGCCTATTAGCTGCCAATAAGGAGGGATCATGAGAATTTTACAGAGCCTTAGGGGAGATCAGATAAATGTTATCGTTACACGACCAAGATCCTTCCCCCTCTCCCCCAAGACAAATAATGGCTGATCCCTAACAATAGGTCAGTTCTGATTTCGTGTTATTCCTTTGAATATGATCAATGCGATTCCAAATTTCATCCTAACTGATCTTGTAATCGATACCTCTCTGAACGGGTAAGTGAAAAAAGTAGCAACGTGCGCCAAAAAATTGCCATTTTGCAGTTAGAAAAAGACACCTAAACATCTATAAGAATTCAAGCTTTTAATACGATAAAAAGCAAGTTACTAATAATAATCAAAAATTCAACTACGGGTCTGATTTTCAACTACATTATTCCGAACTTAACTGTTGCTTCAGTTATACGTACTTTGTATTTTGTATCTCCGTAAGAATTCTGCAATGATTTTCTATCAGTTTTCAAAACTAAACCGACTACTCGAAGGAACATCCAACAATCAACCACCTTCCCTCCCCTCCCCAACTACACACGTGACCTTCCCGAGCAGATTTTTTACAATAATATCTGTGTTTTTTTCCAGACTATACAGTTCACTCTCTTCGGGATGACAGATGCAATGATAAGTACGCCATCAATTCATACAATTGCACTGGCGCCACGAAAGCGCTGTTCGGTCGGGTAAACTCCACATCTGGGAGACTGGGGCGATGTTACTCTTGTGAGTGCACTGGAGCGAGATTCCATCAATGGTGTGCTCATCTTTAACCACTCAACTTGGAGACAAGAATGCATTGTAGACGCTTATGACGAGCTGTTGACCATAATATAAGTTATTTTTTCCTTTTGTCTTTTTTTCAAGAGTGCCTTTTAAGGCAACGGCAAACGAGAAAAATGAGTTTTTATGTGTCTTTATATTTATCTTATATTCATGACTTTTTAAGAGAGGGAAAGTGAGAAAGCACGACCATTTGATTGAGACTTTTAAAAGCATTATCAAGATAATGATGGTGCGGTTTGAATTTTTCTTTCTCCTTTAAAGTGTGTAGAGTGATCAGAAATTAATAAAAGTTCGTAAACCGTACATGATTTGCTGACTGCAATGTATAATTTTATGCATCAAAGTCACTTGGGAATATGGTATGTAGATATTTTTTTTTATGATTACACATCTCACGTTGGTGTTTAAAAAAATTGCTGCCCCTCAAATTTGAACTGACGCAAAAACTTAAATTGTAGTTTAATAAAAATGTTGATGTGTATAGCCCAGACCGCAAACAGCCTCGGAATCTGATCGATGTAGCAGTAATACAGTGCTGTGTTTTCGTTCAACAACTGAATATTGCAAATATAGTCATTCCATTTCGATTTTGGTCTTCTGACTGAGACCGTATCCTATTGGACGGAAGACTCCTAGAATAGATGGAACCGATCGACATCGAACGGAACTATATGTTCCAATTAAACGGAATTCTTCGACATCAAACGTAACTGTGCGAAATTAGATGGAATCATGCCACATTCTACGCAACTGTTCAAAATTAGACAGAATCCTCGTAGGAGAATTAAAAACAATCATCACCTTTTTGTTATGTATTTATTTGTTTGCTTTTGCCGTTTTGTTATGCGAAATGAATCAAAGAAGCCATGAAACACAAGTACTGTGCTCAACAAAGACAACCACTCTTGTTGGTATTTATGGTATTTAGTTACAGTTAAATATGAAGCTTCATTAGATATTGCCGCAAAATACGGAAGATCGATCAATAATATTTTTGCATAAATAAATTATTTATGATGTACTGGACTTTTTGGCGTTGTCAAGTAGCCAAGAAGATTGTAAAGAAGACAAGTGATAAAGAGAGAGACTGAGACAGACTTCTTCCTCTTGATCGTATTAAGGAAGCTGTTGGAAACTCAGCTAAACATGGATCACTCAGTTCTTCTGTAGGCGACGGGAGCGCTGCATCTAAGAAAGGAAAGCAAAACATTATATCAAAAATAAAAAAAAAAAGTTGGTCTCAGACTCAGTATGACAGCCACCGAAATAATTGTGGAATTATGATATTGGAAATGCAATACAGCTATATCCAAGCACAATAAGGCTTATTCGCTTGTGACCCTTCACGCCCCAACATCAGTATGCAGAGTCTCGATGCATATTCTCCATACTTTTAAACTATCAAGAACTTCTACATTTGGAGATCATTTCTCTTATTCTCATGGCCTTAACATTTGATTCAGGGGTGATATTGTAAGGAGAAATTAGATGCTGGTCTCTCTTAAGCTTAGGGGTCAAAGAGTTCATTATTCTGTTAGCAGGAAAAAGAAGTAATGTTTGCAAAGAAAAAGATGTTTGCAATATGTATCATTAGAGTTTTTTGTTGCTGCTTTTTTTTTATAAACTGATAACAAGTCGGGGTTAATGTTGGAGTAGGGGGATGGGTAGGTGCGCAGTTCTCCAGATTCTGACATTGATCCGGAAATTTCCAAATCACTGTCTCAAAACAGGCGCAAGGTTTTGCTCTTTCTTGCAAAATGCAAAGGTCAAGAAAGAGCTTCTGACAACTCTACAATAAGTAGTACATTATTTATTATACGGGTAATTGTAGGAGTACCTTGTTCCTGATCTGTGCTTCCCCAGCAAAAAGGATTGTAATCATCAAATACCAAAGCGAACTCAAGCGAAGATGTTCTGCTGCCACTTGAACAATTTGTTGTGATGAGATCTCTGAGGCATTGTTTAGATTCAGAGAATTTCCTGTCAGAAAATGAAAAAAGCGCACAAGATTCAAACACATATATGAAATTTTCAGGTCTAGATGTGGATTACAGTATCTTTTGCGAAAGGAATGTCAAAAACCTGTACATGATACAAGGGACGGCAAACAGTCAAAATTCGAGACTCGCTTGGAGGCGGAGACCATTGTCTGAAATGCGAGAACAACCACTACACAGCACATATACTATTGCTGGAGTATAACTAAGATGACTCCATGAACTCCATTCACACACAAGAGCTTTGTGCACAAGTTATCATTGCTGACAGTGATAACGCCAGCCTATTCTTGACAAAGATCCCCCGCTATATGAAAAATTCCGAGACTCGAGATGAAGGAGATTTAATTTAGCAATCGAATGGGAAGATTCTGCGACCCACGAATTCGAGCTATCCCTCACTTCATTCGTCCTTATCCAAGAAGACTAGAATGTCTATCCATTTCTTGATTATAGAAAGGTAGCAATTTTTATAAAAGGTGGAAAGAACAAAAGCGTACTTTCTGACCCTTCGCCTCATTAAACCTTACTTGCCCCCTTTTTGTAAATGAAAACAAACCGCAGGTCTGTCGAACAGCTCTGGAATAAAACATGCAGCAGTCATACCTAACGTTTGACATATCAAACGTGCATGTCTCTTAGCTCTTTCATGCTTTGTGTAGCACCATACTTTGTTTGGCACCAATCTCAAACATCTATATCTCGTGCTACAAAACTGCTATTATAATTTTCATTTGCAACATTCATACCTGCAAAGGGTCGGATCCGAAACATTGGCATTAAAAGTATCGTTGAATTCCTTCAGACATTTTACTTCCTCTTCAAAGAAGCCTTCATCGCACTGAAGGTCTTCATCGTTCGGGGAGCCCTTTGGTGCCTCTAACATGCCGCGACAGTAAAAATTCTCGGGGCTTGTGTGATTCAAGGACTCCTCAACTTGTACTTCAATGTCAGCCTCAGAGATGATTCCATATCTCCGAAGACAGGATCGGAGCATGCAGACGATACAGTCTTGCATGTAAGTGTACTTCACGCTTTTGGACAAAGAAAATATAAAAACGAAGATTAACATTTATTCGTGCTTGGCACAGACCAATTTGGTAAATATGAATTAAGATTTCGGGGACCTCCGGTTCAATATATTTATGTTCTCAAACGACAAGTATCTTGTCAAAAAAAGGGTGAACGTTAAATTCCTGGCTTTAAATAGATAAGTTAGAATCAGTTTTAATTCTCCCCTCATGTTTTTCATGTTCATATTGAAATAGCGAGAAAAAAAGAAAAATCAGGTTTTCTGAACCAAATGTATATCCCTCGAAAACGAGTTGAAAAAAAAATATCAAAACAGCACAAAAAATAAAAAAAACAATGGATTATCGTTGAAGCTGTCCTCGCTGTACTTGCTGACTGTTTGACCCTCGTCATGATTTTATGATTGCCAACGAGATAAATCAATCACAAAATGCTTGAAACGAACCTGCAGTTTCCCTGGGGATCTTCTTGTAGGCTTCTTATAAAAAACGTAATACACTGTCTGGTTCTGTTTAGCTGTGCGATTATAGAACATTGACCAATGCCTGTGAGTTCTTCTTCATTCGACTGAGGGTCCAGTGAGTAATAACCTTCAGCTGGCTGATTCCCTTCATTAACTATAAATCAGATCATTAAACGAAAAATAAGCAAAATTTTGATTACTCGCTTTGCAAATAATTAAGATCAGACGATCACAAAGAGAGCCTAACGGAACAGGTGTTTTGCCAGTATACCGTCGCCTCCATAGGCTATGGGTCGTTTTGATACTGAATCGTCATCATTCTCAGCAGCAGCATTTTTGTTGTGATTTCTATCATTATCATTATCGTTATTATCATTATCAAATAGTTTTTGTTAAAATCTTAAAGGGTCGAAAGAAAATCAAGGCTGAATTTAATTTTATAAGGACATTATACATCTCTGTAGTAGAAAAGAGATGGCAAAGTAAAGTTCTTCTAAATCTAAATGTCTAATCTGCAAAGGGCAGTACAGGCCATCTTCAGCAGATATGTGCTGTCCTTGTCATATGTGCGCTAAAAAACAGTGCAGTGTCAGCTAGTGATATAAGAATAAAAAAAAAATGTAGTTATATGTTTTCAATCTATATCTTGCCTTTTCCCCTTTGTTTTGTTCATTGTTAATTGTTTCCTCGCTGACTACAATTCTCAAACGCCTATTTTTACATCAGTTCTTCAAAAAATGATTACCACAAATAAAATTGCCTTGCATTTGGCAAAGAAATATATTCGGAATTTGCGTTGAAACATTGCTTGTTTCTTTGTTTATCTTTTTATCACCTATGATAAGATGACATCTCACCTTCCTCGTCGGATGAAACATTGCAGAATGGATTGTACCCATCAAATGCCGGTTGCAGTATTTCTGTGGCGTCTGCGTCAAACTGACAATGTTGATCAACTGCTTCCTTTAAACATGACTTTGCGTCTGTGAATTCCCTTTGAATGAGAATACCATTATCAATTGACTACAAATAACTTGTTCTAGGCCATTCAAGTCAATGTGACTTCTAACATCAATGAAAAATTAGAAAAACAAGTGCTCAGAAAGTCTATTTGTCAAGAGTAAAACATCCTTGATCTTGAAATCAACTAATACGCCAAACAATTTTAAGGTTAGATCCATAGAAGATTAAAATGCCGGGAAAAAAATTGCTTTTGTTTCATCACTTGCTATTTAAAGCTAATGCTTTAATTCATGTTTTTTATGACTCAGTTCAGCCAAATACCGTCTTCTTTCTTCTTTTCTTTATCAGCGCTACAAACCAAGAATACTTTCTCAAATAGTGAACATACTTGCAAAGACTTTTATCTGCCCTGTCATTTCTAAACTTCGTTTGGAATGTGTCTCCACAAGCTCTGGATTCGTTGTAAAATGTCTCGTTGCAAGGGATTTCTCTTTTTTGCTCGTCTGTCAGAATTGGCCTGGAAAACAATCCATCTTTGCAGTAAAATTCTTCAGATTTCAGTTGCTTGGCTGCCTCTGTCAAAAAAGCTTCAATATCATCCTCTGGAACATGGTCTCTGACACAATCCCTCACATACTCCTTGGTACACTCCACCATTCTGTTATAAATTACCCTGCGTTAAAAAGAACAGAATTTAAACTACGTATGATGCACGATCCTCGCAGTAGATAGCGCTATTTAAGCAATAGCGAAAATCAGACCTGAAAAAAATCAGGCCTGTACGGGATTCGAACCACTGACCTATTCGCTATTGCTTAAATAGCGCTATCTACTGCGAGGATCGTGCATCATACGTATCTAATACCGCAGTTCAAAATATATGAACTTCATATATTTCATTGTATCTGATTTATCACTTTCACGGGTTTATTACGAATCAACTTAACGGCCTGCTCCCAGTTGGCTTGTTAGCTCAATTGGTAGAGCGCTGCACTAGTATCGCAGAGGTCAGTGGTTCGAATCCCGTACAGGCCTGATTTTTTTCAGGTCTGATTTTCGCTATTGCTTAAATAGCGCTATCTACTGCGAGGATCGTGCATCATACGTATCTAATACCGCAGTTCAAAATATATGAACTTCATATATTTCATTGTACAGAATTTAAACTGTCAGTTGAATCTTACAGCGCCATTAGAGGGTCTTAGATTGCTTTAACTACATCAAAGTTGGTTTAAAGTAAGTTGGCCATACGATTTCAGAACAGCCAGAGATTTCTGTGAGGTGGATAATCTTCCTTAAATAGTTCATCAGATGATCACTCTCTCTGCATTTCGCTTTCTTGCGTCATTTGTTGGATATAGTTTTGCAATTCTTATAAAGAGTGACACCTCTCTTAACCATCGCACTCTCAGATCTGATCGACGTAAAGCTATTCTTTTGCAATATCAATGGATTATCCAACAAACAGATGATTTGAATAGGGGCAAGAACTCGTGATAGAGATACTTGTTATAGCAGATGTGCGATAGAGTAGTCTATGTGGTCAGTTTAGTCGTGATGATATTGGCTGTAAGGCTTACTGCCACTAACATCACAGCTCAACTGACCAATCCGTTTACACAAACAATTTTTCATTTGACTCTGATTATGAGATCAGCTCAGGTTGTCGAAACATCAGTTACTGCTACCAAAAACAGTCCTTCTAAGGACTATACATGTTACACCCGGGTTCAAACTATTGACTGTATAAGAGACGTGTTTCCTCGTCAAAATCTCTCAGTCTACTCTCGAGAAATTGTACGGCGGCATAAGGAAGAACTACAATCACAGATCTTAAGAGCAATACGTCATTAATTTCACAAGTCGAAGGTTATTATTTAGCACAAACTAATTTTCCTCCAAACCGGCTCCACCAAACGCCTTTGATATTTCCTTACTTGCAATCCACGCAAGGATCCTTTTGTAGATCTGCAATAAACTCTGTTGTACATTGTCGAGCCTTGTTGATGTATTCTTGAAAAGTGCAGCTTCCAACCATTTGTAATCCACTGCATCTATCTAACAATACGGCTAGATAGAAGACGCGAGAACATAAGCAACTTTGAATAAGCTTCTAAGAGCAAGTGAACATAGAGATTCTCATATCAAACGATACTGGAGAGTTAACTTCGTTACTTAAAATGTTTGACATAACACTGGCAGAACAGGAAGAACGGCGGAACAACTGCGCTTTGGTACGATGTCGATCATCATGAATTATTTACATCCAAATGTCTTCTAATACTTTGACAATGTGACTTTATCATTTATTCATAATTGTATTAAAGGGAAATAAGTCTGATAATTATTGAAAATAAGTCGCTGGGAAATAAAATTTAGAACTTGCGTTGTCAAACTCAGCGCATACTAAAGGCAGAAAGAGTCGAGTCCATAATTAGGTCCACTCCTGTCTAGAACGCTTTCCTGAGCTTTGCTCTTGCTATCGCTTTGTTTCAATAACTGGTCAAAACTCTTTGGCAAAAACATCTTCAAGTCATTTTGTCTTTGTGTTGCCCTTTTAGTTTTTATTTTAAAGCGAATTTGGGAATCAAATTTGTGTCGAAAGTTTTCTGCGCAATGGCGAAGCTCGCACATGGGCAAGGATGAAGGTTATGTTTAGTTCTGATGGCGTTTTAGCTTACCTGATAATATGCATGTCAAACCAATAACGAGGATCCTTAACATTTTTGGAAAAATCGCAGATAATAGCTGTAAACCCACAAAATGACATCCATGTTTTCAGTCAATGTCGTGATTCTTTATGCGTAAACAACTCATGATTTTAATATTCACATATCAGGGAATTGTTCGGTGATCCATTACATTCGCTCAAGATCATTGACAGTGATCAACACCCGTATCGCCTGCACTTCATACAATAATTTTTGTAATTATCAGCCCCATGGCTTGACAGTCTATATAGAACCTGTAACCCATAGATGGTCAAGGAACATTTACAGTCCACTTTTACTAATGATAAACTGTAGAGCATTTTAGTCATTTGGACTTTTTATGTCACAGTGATTTGTCTTGGATTATTTCATTAGCGTTATACATGCGGTCTCTAAGCAGCAGTCATGCGATGTCCATGGCAGCCAAGAGAGCTATTGTACTGCTCGACACGAAAACACAACAACAATATAACAGAAGCGTTCTAGAAAACACTTTCCTTGCTTACTGTTATGATTGATTTGCCTCAATATTACTATAGAAATTGTCACATTAATGACACCAGTTTATGTCAAACTTATTGTAGCTGTTTCTCATATTTATTTCATCCTAAACTCATCAAGTGAAGATTATATGAGATTAATTAGCCATTCCTGGCAACTGTTGCTAGATGAAATAAATATTATGATGTATCTCTAATGCTGCAAGATAGAGTTTTTAAAGTTCTAAATAATTGAATGAAATGGAGTAAAACAATGTCCGCAGTATCGGCATCGACCTAACAGACCTTCTTAAGGTAGAAATTAACGTTCTGGTTACTTTATAACAAAACCTAATTAAAGAATGAATTTCGGTCCGACACAGGGAGGGATGTTTTTCTTACATTTTGTAGATTGATCAATGGACTTTTGACATCAACTTTTATCAGATTACTGTGAAATTTTGTGCCGAATCCAAGATTTCCATTTCTGACTTCTTTTTATGATTTTGTGAATCGGTAAAAGATAACTTCAAATGATTGTTTCATTTGTACAATGATTAACCTGTTAAGTCCAAAATCTGACATCAAATTTTTCTAAGTTTCAGTCCAGGTTCCAATTCTTCAGTTCGACCCCAAACCCTTTATCACAAAATCATAGTTTAAATGTATCACGGCGAGAGTGACTCTAAACATCCTGGAAAGCAATTTTATGTTCCTGCGTGCACCGTTGATTTCTGGGCTTCTCGAGGCTTGATACACGACTGTGGTCCCATTTCTAGTGTTATTGCAAAACTGATTGAACCGGCTCTGCGTTGGTACTAGCATGGTGTCGTTGTGGCCATTAAATACTGTTTGCGTGCAATTTTCGTTGGTCTCTGGGGTTTCTGAGGCTTGATACGCCACTGCAGTTGTATTTCCGGTGTTATTGCAAAACGGATTGAACTGGTTTTCAGTTGGTACCTCAATGCTACCGTTACAGTAACGATCAAAAACTGATTGTGTACATTTCCTGGCTGCAGAAAAAGCTCTGAAGGAAAATTACACAAACAATGTTAGACTGTGTCTTAACTTTACAGAAATAGGGCTGGAAGTCTGCGCCATCCTACAAGAATCAAGTACTTCCCTTTCATTTCATCTTCAATTTGTTTTATCTATTTATTCATTTATTTCATTCCAATATGTTGTACTCAACAATTTTCTCCGGTTCAACAAAGTAAAAACCCTTAAAACAAGCCTGCAGATTCACTCTCGATGTCCCAGTATCCTGAGTATGCTGAGAATTTTTAAGGGCTCGTCACTTTATATTTCTTATGAAAAGGCATACAAACAATCCAAAAAACAAACACATGAAAATTATAAGTCAAACACACTCAAGAAGGTATTGCACTTGAAGTTTCAGAGATCAAACGTAGATTAAACCGCCGCTTTTTGTTCAAATCAAATTATTTCTAGTTTGGGTAAGGCTATACAGCACTGTTTAACACGGAGAGAATCTCGACCACACATGTGAAACATCAAGGTTCTTATACAAAGTACTCACCGGCACAGTCGGGGGTCATTCCTCTTCGTGTTGAAGATCTCGCGGAAGTCTTTAGTACATTTGTGTCCCTCACTGAAAAGTTTATCGCTGCAAGGTAAAAGCTGCCTCAAGTCTGGATCCAGAGATGACATATTGGTAGGTTTATTGGAGCAGTACCACTGAGCCGAGCCAGTTTTCTTTAAGAGCAGTGCTGTTTTGTTGACGACATTGTCTATTTGTTCCTCACTGAGGTGTCCTGCGAGGCACTGACGGGTCTTTTTTACAAAACATGTTGAAAGCTGCGCATGCACCGAGCTGTTGAGAGTAAAAAGTGGAAAAATGTTTCAGCCCTTGACTCAGTGTAATTTGTTAATTACTTTGGTGTGAATACTCCATGTAGCCTGGTGAGTTTGTTTCATTCTTGGTGGTGATTGAGCAAGTATTCTTAAATTCTCTTTTTCTAGCTAATTTTATAACTGCTCAGGAAACCAAAAGTCATATTTCCTTGACAAAAATGAAAATTTTTTCTCCTTACCGGCAATCTGCAGTAAGATTCTTTGCCAGTCCAATGTAAAATATCTTCTCGCAGATTCCAACAGCTTGTTCTACGAACTCTTTCTCGTTACATGAGCCAAAGGGCTGGGCCGAAGATGACATGATTTTTCCTTGTTCATGCAAATACAGGAGGCAAAAGGTATAACAATCTCGGTATACAGTATATATGTGATAAGGCTTAAGGAAAGCTATCTGGGTTGTGAACTTGATATCCCATAATGATCAAAGTATTTTCTTTTACCGAATGGTGATACTTTTTTTATGACAAAAAAAGTAAATAAATAAAAAGATAAAAGAAAAATGTAGATATACGTATAGGCCAACATTATTACATAAGCATGATGTGATTTTATCTCGAGGCCATCAGAGTTAAGTATTTAGGCGTGCATGGGGAAAGGAGTGTTGTCGATCACAGAACTTAAGCCAATCAAATGGGGTCAGATCAAATAGCACCAAGGTTATAGGCAAGGTCAGTTTCCATGTATTTACGTTGATGAGGTATTTTTCTTGATTTATAAAATGACCCTTACAGATATTAGCTTTATAAAAATAAAACTGTAGGATTAAAATAAATTTTGTATTTTTTCTTCTATGAAAAACAGAATTTCAGGTATTTGCTCTTGATATTCCAGAGGAGCAAAACGACAAAAATCTGGGTGCTATATTAAGTTTACATTTCTTGTCATTTCTCTTTATCCCACATTGCCTCAGGATCAAAGATGATAGTGGGTTTCATTTTTGTCTTGATTCAGTTCAGTTTACACATATAGTACTTTCTGGTTATTCATTTAGTGGTCGTTATGGAGAATTTCATTTGAAAGCCTATCACCGAAACATCCACCTGGTAAAAACTGTTAAAAAGTTTATCGCGATTAGCTGATTTCATTGAACGAAAATAAAGAAGCGTTATTCAGTTTCTTGCAGTACAATTAAAAGTGATGTTATTCTGGTTTAATACATGTGCGGTATTTGTAAGTCATAACCTTCTAATCCCTTAAAAGTTATTTAATCAAAACGAAGTCTTCGGAGAAAGGAAAAGAAATATATTTTATGGTGGTCAATGCGAGTCAGGGCCCTCTGATGTTCAAAAGAGACTAATATACTTGATGATGCTAAAACGAAGCTAAAGAGTTACTTAAATTCTTACCCGCCAGAAATTGCGATAGAAACGCCAAAATAATCTTTAACTTCATTTTTTCCTTCTCTCTGAAGGCACATTACTTTCCGATGCTTAAATACGATATTATTCAAACCGCTTATATATTTTTAAGACGTTTAAAAATTCACGTCCATAGTCCTGGAAAATAACTTCATTTGTTGACCGTTGACTTTTAATTTGTTTGTTTCTTAAAATGAGCGTATGAGTTACCAATGTACATGCTCTACGTACCCTCGCCTAAGGTTGTAATTTATGGAAGTGGTTCTCTTAAGCCTAAGGTAACACTTAGATGGATATGAAGCTTTCTTTGAAAGTCATTCGTCCTGAAACTATTGCAAGGTAGAATTAGGGAGTTTCATGCTCAGCTACCATGATTTTGTAGTCCATGATGTTTATCTTCCGAAATCAGGCTTATGATGACTTAACTAATATCTTTGACAGCTATCTACTTTCTCAAACATATCAAAACCCGCAGGCAGGTACACCGTAGTGAAAAAAAAAAAAAAAAACAGATAAGATAGTAACCTCCCCAAAAATTAACATACGTATTAAGCGTTGGCTTTCTCTTTTATTTTCGTTCAATTTTTTTGTGAGAAAAAGTGTTTGGAAGTTAAAGTGCAGTATTCAAAGATGTTCTCGATAAATGATTCAAATGTCAATCAGAGTACGGCTAATGCAAGTACGATGAATGTGCCACAAGTTGGTGCCTGCTGCCGTTAGTAAAACAGCTGATTATCTAAGTCTATTGAATTGCAACTTTCTAATTGCGTATCATGAATACACAGCTCAGAAACTGAATATATGATGTGTATATATGATCATAAAGTTTTGTCTTGGATGTAAATTGGACTAGCTAATATTGTAAAGTGTGCAACTTGGATGGATTCTTTTGTAAAACGTTGGAAAAACGAAAACCACGTTTCATTGATTGCCTCGCTCTTGCTAAAAGATGTGGCCCCGCCCTATGTTTTAAAATGTACCTCACACTTTTAATAGAGGTTTCTTCTTTGTAAACAGCTCATGCATAAAACATCGCATCGTATAGGTGAGCTATGTCGAAATTCTAAATAACAAAAAAATAACACTTCCAAAATACTTGTTTTGGACTGAATATAGTGAGTTATTTTCACGTTTCGAAACATTCAAAATTTTTTTATTAAAGTTCCAAAATCATCCAAGTCCTTTTTCCGTTCAGAGTGTTTTAAGATAAAATAATAATATTTTCGATAACTGGGCTTTATTAACTGGGTTGAAAGAGCAAAATCGTCATTCGCCCACTAAACCACTAAAAGAAGAACGGACAAACCAAACGGCCAAACTCCTCAATCCCTACCAACCAACTAGCTAACTAGTTCCACGAACCAAAAAAAATTCGAGAAAGGATAGAACGAAAGAATGAATGAAGACAAACGTACGATGGCGAGCTTTATTAACTATTGGACAACTGAGAGTCGCTCGACTAACATAAAGCGATTGAAGCACTGGATATTTAAATGTCACACTATGAAAAAGGATCAATGTTCATCGCCAGGTTTATATAAAATAACAGAAAAAGTAAATATATGAGTTCAGTTTAGATCGGTGAGCTTTGTAAAATGACCTTTTATCTTATTTGAAATTAATATGATAGAACTTTGACAATTCGCAAACAAGAAAAGACAACACAAAAGTTATGTAATACATTATCTGATGAGCAATTTGCATAATGAAAGATTTAATATCATGAGCGAAATAATTGTTTGACGTATAGTTGCGCTGAAGGATGTGGAATCTCTTAACGAGGTAAGTTTAGCGCCGTTTTGATTTTGATAGAAGAGAATTGGGTAATAAATGTTAGATGTCTGACAATGTGCGAGACAAAAGGCTTCAAATCTATCGATCATTAGTTAAGGAAATAAAAGTGTCAGAAGACCCTGTTTCAAATTTTGGTTGCCATTCCAAAATAAAACTGGTCGGAGATGAATGGTGTTAGCTATTCGCTAAAGTTTCCTATTGTGCCGATCAAAAATAATAATTCTGGCAAAAGATTTGTTTCTGAGTTACCATTCATAAGGAATCCCGGGGATCTCAGCGAAATCATGATGGGAATTTCCGTGGGGTCCGGGCTTGAATTCTAAGTGTAATTTCTCCGTATGTATGGGTCGGGATTTACTGGCTTCGAAAAGCTGATTTTTTTTGCTCGTGTTAACATTCAAGATCGGTTTATCTTTAATGATTTGAAACTCAAACAATGAAGAAATCCGGAATAAAAAAAAAACATTGGTATTTGAGCTTAGACCTGCAATACTAATCCTCATACTGAGTCTCCGGGACTTTCGAAAAACTGGCCCCTGAATCCCCGCTAGAATTTCGCCGAAATCCTGTCGCTGTAATCCTGACCTTAAAATTGAAAAATTATCCTTTAAAAAACAGCTTGCTTCCCAAAGTTAACGAAGATCCGGCGTTTGCTGCATTTAATTTTAATTTTTGACAGATTCTCTTACGACTTATTAGGTTGTCCTGTTAACGAACGGCAATCACTGGGCGAGCCAATCACATCATTGTTTTGATATCAAAACTGAACATGATTCTTAATAATATATATTTTCCTTCGTTCGTTGTAGCTGAAATGCATCTAAAAAATCCCCTCCGACAAGTAAAACTTTGCCATCTCCACAGCATATGGTTTTTCTCATCTTTTGCCAGCTATTTAGCTCAAGGATGCGCTAGGACTGACTCGGTCGAGGATTACAAACTACTGCGACACATTATCAAAAGCCAGGTCGAAAACAATATTTGGAGTTGTTTTCAAACGTGTAAAAGGAACGCCAAGTGTCAAAGTATTAACTACAATGCAGAAAATTCCATCTGTGAGTTGAATAACAGAACTAAAACCGGGAATGAAAACAAGTTTGCTCCATTTCAAGGAAGCGTGTATGTTGATAACCCATTCAGAGGTGAGCCAAATAAAATCATATCGGATGATTTTTTTTCAAGTCGTTATGCATTAAATCAAAAGGCCATAATTTATCTACTGAGCTGTAGAAATGTAAGCCCCCACAAAATTAGATGTCAAAGCGACTAAGACACTCAGCAAATATTGCAACATTTTAAATTATAGCGATTTGGTAAAGGATGTCAAAAACCATTTCATGCTGAATACCATCATTTCAATTTTGACAAACATTTCCTTTTTTTTTAATTAATAGGCTCATCAGTGGTGGAACATTTTGCATCGTATGCATTAAGTGTTTCTTTTCGTGAATAACAATTTAGCTTTTATATGTTAAATAATTTACCGCCTCTTATTAGATCTGAGATAATTGAACGGAAAAGCTATAAATGAAGACCAATAAAATGATTACTGCCATCCAACCCGGATTTTAAAGGCTAAATGTTTTTTTTTTTTTAGGCCGTATAGGCGAAGAAAAAGACTTTCCTGGAATTTCCTGTAAGGAAATAAAAGATTCTCAGCATAACTCTCCCAACGGACAATATTGGATTGACCCATCCAACTCCGATGACCCGTTTACAGTTTTCTGTGATATGCAAACAGACGGAGGTAGGATCATTGAAATACAATGAACGTTTTGAACCCTGTATTTTACACGGCTGTTTAGTCTAATGTAATTAGATAAACTTGTTTGAGTCACTACAATTTAAAACCTTGTTACTGTGATTGCTGATGAAATCACTTGGAAAAATTTGTCAGCCTGAGCGAAAGTATTTTGTAATTGTTAAGCTTTCTAAAAGATTCACAGATACTTTTATGGTTTATTTTTTTTAGTATGGTTTTGATGGGATAGTATTTATTTAATCTTGTGGTGTGATTGTCCGGATGAGAGAATTGTTGTTGCATTTGGTTGTGAGAACTGGCCGGTTTCAACAACCTCAGCGGAAGTTACCAATCGACTTTCATGACTTCTTCCTCATAGGTTGTCGAAATGTCGGTCATTATTACCAACAACAGTCGTCATCAGGACTCTCTCATCTGGAGGAGCAGATTACACCATTCGAAAAAATACATAAATAAAAAATAACATCTTCTTATAAATGACCTATACCCGTATAGCAACCGCTCACGCTGAAAACGAGTGATGCAATGTCGAGCGGACAAAATGGTCCCATCTTACCGCTCAGATGGCCAATCGAAACTCAGTATTTGCTTCTTCTTTCTCACGGGCGCAGCCTGCTATATAATATAAGTACTTTCTTACCTGAAGCGTATTTTGCTCTGAGTCGCTCGATGTCTAGTTTAGTTCTGAGTTTTCATTTAAAATTTTTTCAGGCGGCTGGACTTTGATCGCACAAACTGTAGCAAAAAATATGACGAAGTTAACGCCAATGATCAGAGAGAAAAACTACAGAATGATTAGCAACTACAACAGTGGAATCGTACGAATTGATGTCCCTGCAATATTTCAGTTCAAACAGCTCACGCGCTTTACGCAGATACGCTTCTACTGCCATAAAAACTCCACAGGAAGGACTTTTCACATTATGACCAAAAACGACATCAATGGAGAAAGCATCGTAAAATATCTGATTGAAGATCCCAGCATCCAGCCAAGAGCTTGTGCCTCGTTTGAGAGGTTACCTGGGGATAATGCGTATCTGTCTGTTAACTGTTTAAAATGGGGGAATGATGGGACACGCGGTGAATGTGACAAGTGGGGAAGTTTTAAAAACAAGGGCAGTTACCGTGTCTATAACGATCCAATATTCTGGGAAAACAAACATTATGTAAACATGAAACCTTCTATCTTGGCCTGTGACGATTCCTACAGTTCTCCTGCTCCTCTTTCCTTAGGAGATACTTGGCAGATCTTTGTTCGTTAACCATTTGAAAAACGGATTAGAAACTGGAAACGAGAGATGTTATGTACAGGGGTTGCCGATGGTGTTAGGGACCTTAAGTAAACCACGACGGCAACGAAGAAGTGGCAGAACAAAATATCTAATTGGCTGAATAATAGCTCAGCACATGCATTTTAAAACTTTGTACAATTCTTAGCCGTCTTCTGCCAAACAACAACGTTAAATCACTAAAATTTACGTTGTCCGGGAATGGAAACACCAAGGGAAAATTATTTAATTATAAGTTTAAATTGAAACCCAACCCCGTTCACATACGAGATGGTGAAGTTGAATTGTGGCGCCGTAAGAGACAATAAGCACATCCAGCCATTCACGAAATTCTTACTATAAATTTAAATTCATTTTTAATCGACGTTTTCTTCGCCGTTGTCTTCCTGACTGCTTAGGGTCTTTATTATTCGCGTCACGCGTAGACGATGGAACTCCTGTTTGAAATTTCGACCTGTCAAGAATAATCAACAGCGCCTGCTATACAACTGATTATAAATACCATAGTATAACACAGATTATAACACGTGACCTATTTGGACTGAAACGATATACACAAAGTTTAGAAGCCGCGATGGGTTCTTCTAACTCTCAAATTGTTATCTTCATAGGGAGTTTGCATTTCGAGATATCGTAATTTGATTAACGTCAGGATTGCAACATTCTTCTATTACATACTGTCTTGTCTTCTGTAAGCCAGTTTTTACAGAGGTAAATTTACAATATTGACTAAGTTGATAAAACCAAATTATCTTGTAATTTATCCCCACCGATGCAGCAGCACAGTTTCTGTGGAAACCTCTCCGTTTATCTAATAGGGACCTTAAGCAAACCACGACGGCGACGGCAACGTGGACGTGGCAAAACAAAAGATCTAATTGGCAAAACAATAGCTCAGCACGTGCGTTTTAAAACTTTGTACATTTCTTAGCCGTCCTATTTAAAACAACAACAGGAAATTACCAAAATCTGCGCCGTCTGCGAACGGGAACTGCGACGTTAAATTATTTTAATTTACATTCGAAACTCAACACTTCTTTTATACGTTATGCTGAAGATGAGTTCTGGCCCCGTATGAGACAGTACAATGATACATGCAGCCAATTTTGAAATTCTAATGAAAGGCAGAAATTTATTTTTTATCGAATTCTTCCTTGGCGTTTCCGTCCTGACTACTTAAGGTCCCTTTGTAACGTATCGTGAGGGATTTAATAAACTCTGAAAGAATATTAATTAATGTTAGAACAGCTTTGTCCCTAACAAGAAACTTGCGTATTGCCCGTTATGTGAATAATTTAATTAGTTTTTCACGGCAATGTAAACTGAATTTTGGCATTTTTTGTGAAAATAATCATACATATCTATAGATTCCAAAAATCACTTATATATTACTTATCTCTCTCTGAGTTGGTAGTGAACGATAACGCGCAAAAACAAAAACCAATGATGGTTGCTTTGTTGGCTTGCGTTACTGTCAGCAAACTAGTTTGCTAATTTTTATCAGCACGCGCTTTTTGTGAGACAGTTGAGGCTAACCCATGCGGCAAACTGCACGAGAAATTTGTCAGTAAAGCTTGGATCTTTAGTTTGAATAAGTAGTAAGTCGCAAGAATTTTATCGCAGCCGCTACAGCAGTGGTAGGAGGTATTAACTTGGCATCTTCGAGTGTCTTCAAAAAGGAAATCATCCGCGTTGAAAACTAGTGAGTTTCTCCGTATTTCTACATTGTATAATGTTACGTTTGAATATGAGGACCTTACGCAAAGACGACTGCCACATTAGGGACGACGCGAATTGAAAAAGAATCTCGGCAGTTAGTTGAATCACTCCAGTTTTTTTGCACCGATATCAGAGTTATTTTAAAATCACTGCAAAGAGAAGGAGATTTATCCAAATACACGAATGAAAATTTGGACATCGTAGTTCACTCGCTCCAAAGAGCCATTTTATTTGGTACCATCATGTTCTATTTTGCACATAATGGTAAAAGAAAACCCTGAAAAAATATACGCACGTGCACAGTGACTGCTACATTCATAAAAGCCTTACTTTGTTTTACTGCGGGCGCCATCGTTGTCATCGTAGAGTCCCTCAGGGCCCAGCTGAGAAATCAAAAATATTTTAGCCAACATCCTGTTGAACGAGCATATTTACCGTCTAATGGTATTTTCATACCTTTTATTTAAATGGCTTCTTTGATTAATCCAGATCAAACATTTACATCTAGTAAATGTTTGATCGTAAAGTCACCACATTTTCCATGTCACATATGCGATGATGATGGCGAATGTTTGATACATCTTTTAGTCGGGGCAGATAAACGTAACAGATACGAAATAACTGGAAGGAGACTTCATTAGATGCCGCGTTGCATCAGTATTTTCTTTGCGGCTCTGACAGAAATTACGAAAGATTTCCGATTTCTCAATTTCTTTTTAAAACTTTGGCTGAAAAATGAATTTCATTTTAGCGCGTCCGCCCGTAAACTGGCCACGAGTACACAAAGCGGGATAAGTTCGAATACAGCCCTTTTCGCTTTTAACTTCACCGAGCTTATTGTAGACAGAACCTAAGATATCCGATAATATTACTGATAATTTGGTCATACTGGCGCATTTAATTGTGCGTCGCCCTCCATTTATTAAGGCTCAGAACATTCTGAATGATCGAATTCTGTTATTCTTAGATCGTGTTCATTCAATGCCACCTTTTAAAAATATGTCCAATTCATGGAGTGTTTTTTTCCCCCTTTGTTTTACAATCCACTATTTCTCTTCAGTTTTCATAAAATTCTTCTTTGAAACTCAGTATCACTTCATTCCTAAATTCTGTCTGAGTAGTCCTTGTCAGGTTTTCATTTCCCCTCAGGCGCTTCGATTGGTTTCTTGCGCTTTTTGAGACCGGTTTACCTAGAATCAGTGGCTCCATCATAAAAAAGACGTTTTTTTTTATTTTTCTGTGTCAAGCCCCACTTACAGTTAATTATGTCATACAAGCAAACTGATTACACTATATTCTACGATCAGATGAGGCAATTTTTCTTCGAAGAGTTATCGAGTTTTTTAGCTAAAGCAAGTTGGTATATCTAAGCCGTATCCCTTTTCATCAACATCAATTTCGTTTCACGTTTTGTATCTCAATAAAAAATAGTGACTTAAAAAAATGGTATCAGCACAATTTCGAAAGCGCCAGTATAATAAATCGCAGCATTCAACAGTCTTATGAAATTTCAAAACAAAGTATGGATACATCATTAAGATGACTAAGTCGACTCTAATTATTGTAAACTTAGTATGTTTGATCACTCTCGCTTATATTCGTATCAACTGTTAATTAAAGGCATTGCACTGAAATCGATTTTTAATAATAAAACATCATGCAAAGCCATTCTAGAAATGTTTCACACTGTCTGAAATCTTTGCCGTCTGATCCGCGCTTCTCCCATGTTCTCATCGTTTCTATCTTCAGTGATAGTGTACAGACCCATCATTCGGCAGGTATTGCAGTCAGAGTCTGCTTTCTCAAAGTGAACATGTCTTCTCCTTGGAGGATCCAAAGTACTGAACCTCCTCATTTTCTGAATCGCATGCGATGTGAGAATTTCCAAAGACTCCCTGTGTCCTCTTTGTGCTGCACGCTGTAACGCAGTAAATTCGAATTTGTCAGCAGATGTTACATCACTGCCATGCGTCAGCAAAGCTTCGATAGTTTCTTTGTGGTTGTTGTGCGCCGCCCGATGTAGAGGAGTGTAACCCCAGTTGTCTTTAGCGTGTACGTCTCCCCCGTGTGTCGCTATCAGTTCGCAAGTTTTCGTGTGTCCGTTCTGAGCAGCAAGGTGAAGAGCCGTGTGTCCATTGGTCATCGAGGCATTTATTAAGCAACCATTTTCAATCAGCACGCAACAAGTATCTGTGAAGCCACCATACGCGCTGAGAACCAGTGGCGTCGACTTCTCTTTACTCAGCGAATTGACATCGCTTCCATGTCTAAGAAGACAATCCACGACTTGAGTATGACCATTCTGAGCAGCACGATGCAGAGGTGTGTGTCCCCGTGAATCTTTAGCATGAATGTTACTTCCTCCCACGACTATCAGAGTTTGAACTGTATCCAGATGCCCGGATGCCGCAGCACAGTGCAGGGGCATAGACTCCGATTGATTTACTGTATGTGCACTAGCACGATTAGCCAGTAAACATTCAACTGTATTTGTGTATCCGTTTTGTGCTGCTCGATGCGCAGCAGTGTTTCTCCATTTGTCCGTACCGTGGATGTCGCTTCCTTTAAGAAGCAAATATTCCACAACGGAAGTGTGACCATTTTCTGATGCTTTGTGCAATGCTGAACAATTGCAGTGATCAAGAGCATTGATCTCAGCGCCTTCTCTCAGCAATAACTGGACTGTTTCCTTGTGACCATTCTCTGAAGCTAAATGAAGTGACGTGTGACCCTCTTGGCGGCGGCTTCCCTCCGCAACACCATCCTGAACCGTTGAGGAATCTATTCCTAGATTCATGCTCAATGATGAAAACTTTATGGTGTATGTTCTAGCCTTAATGTCACTTTTCTCCCTTAGTAAAAGCTCTGCAGTCTCTTTGTGTCCATTCTGCGAAGCTCTATGAAGCGGAACGAATCCTTGGAAGTCAGTTGCACGCACGTTACTCCCGCTTCTAATTAGCAATCGACAGGCGTCTGTATGACCACGTTCTGCAGCTCTGTGGAGTGGTGTGTATCCCAGACAATCAATTGCATGTATGTCGCTATCATGTAGCAGCAAAGTTCGCACAGTCATGACATGACCCTCGCTAGCACTTCTGTGCAGTGGTGTAAACCTCCATTTGTCCGTGGCGGAGATGTAAGCCCCATGTTTGATAAGCAAAGTAGCTGTTTCGGTACGACCACACTCTGCTGCCCGGTGCAAGGGAGTGTAACTCCAGTTGTCCTTGCTGTTTGGATCGCTTCCACGCAGCAAAAGGGCTTCAACTGTCTCGAGGTGTCCATTCTTTGACGCTCTATGCAGGGCTGTAAGAGCTCGTTTGTCTTTCGCAGAAACATCGCCACCATTTTCGAGTAGCAATTGTACAACATTTGAATGGCCTCTCTCTGATGCAAAGTGAAGGCAGGTATTTCCAGTTGTCTGATGGAGCGCATGCAAGTTAGCTTTAAAGTTAATGAGATGTTTACAGCACTTAAAATGGCCACTATTTGATGCAATTATGAGTGGAGTCAAACCTTTATCATTCTTGGCATTTACCATACTTCCTGCTTGCAAAAGTGTCTTGAGAGTTCTGTGTTGTCCATGTTGCGAGGCGCGGAGTAATGGTGTATTTCCATTGTTGTCGACTGCATCAACATGGACGCCAACATCGATAAGAAACTGGGTAAACTGGACATTTCCTCTGAGTGCAGCGAAGTGAAGAGCTGTCTTTCCACCTTTGTTATTTGCATTCCGTTTTGCTCCACTGCTTACCAGCAAATTGCCGACGTGTGTGTTGTTATGAAATGCAGCAATCATCAGTGGATTGATGCCGTCTTTAGCTTGTGCGTTAACTTTTGCACCGTTTTGTATGAGTTCCTTGGCAACCTCGACACAGTTTGTCTGTGCTGTAAAATGCAGAGGAGTGAAATCGTGTTTGTCTTTTGCATTGACATCAGCTTTTTTATTCAGAAGAATTTTTACTGTGTGAGCTTCTCCTGAGAAGACTGCATAATGCATTGGAGAGTATCCATATTGGTCCTTTGCTTGAAGATCACTCCCGCTGCTAATCAGTTCTTTGATAGCATTCTGTTGCACATTTAGGACGGCTAAGTGCAGAGCGGTGCATTCCTCATTTGTTTTTGATTCTAGATTACATCCTCTCTTTAAAAGTTCTTTTACAGCATTTGTACTTCCATTAGATGCAGCAAAGTGCAAGGCTGTTTGGCCCATGGCGTTTTTCCATGTAACTTTCGCCCCTCGTTTAACGAGAAAGCGAATCGCGTTCTTATCGTCGTTTCTTGAAGCCCATATCAAGGGTGTCCTACCACTTGCACTGCAAGCATTGACATTGGCTCCAAGGTGTACCAAAGTGCGAATGGTGTCAATTTTACCTGATGAGCATGCCACGATAAGTGGGGTCCGCTGATCTTTAGATTTTGCATGTACATCATAGCCACCCTCCTTTACAAGCCTCTCGACGGCTGATGCATCTCCCATCGCTGCTGCTATGTGCAAAGGAGTAAATGACCTTACCATGTCCTTTTCTTCTATTTCACATTGTTGGAGTTTATTTGCTTTTATCTCCTCGAGTTCCCGTATGAGTTCTCCTATGGAATCCAGGCTTCTTGTTCTTCTTTTTGTGTTGTTGATGAACAAGGTTTCTTCATTAGTGCGATAGTCATGGACTAGGTCAGTGAGGTTTTCTTCGAATGGAAGAGACAGGTCGCTCTCGGGCGTACTTAGTCCCATCACTGAACTCAGACTTGTTGGTCTCCCTCGAATATCCTGTTGATTCGCAAAGTTTTCCATCGCCTAAAAGCCAAAAGTTCCTAGGTTAAGATTTTGAATAGCTAAGTTTGGACAATACAATTAAAATAGCTTAAGGGGGTAATAGCATTTTAGTGCACTATCTAAGCATCGCCTTTAGTTCCGCAGAAATAAATGAATTAACAGCACCGCTTTTGTTTACTTAACCGACGCTTGCTACAGCTCACTTCACAATGGCGATCGATTGTTATTTTGTCTTAATTGTTTTATTTCTAGAATATTCATACCGCTTCCAACGTTGCGTCTGCATTCTAAGCAACTGTAATTATAGACAACAGATTGTCTTCGTTTTTATACAGGAAGATCAGCTAGCAAACGAAACGAACTTATTAAATATCGCGGAATATACTTTTAGCTAAATTTTTGCGTTCGAACAACGATCGCTTTTGCAACGCGTCAACAACATCGAATTTGTAAACAGTAATCAGTCTCTGCAAGCTAAATACTTCAGTCATTTGCCTGTTTGTATAAAGTTGCTTCAACTGGTGTGGCTTGCTTCAGGAAAGAACGTTAAATAAAACGACTTCAATGCTATTTGAATTCTTAGCGAATATGTTATCCAAGACAAAAGCCGGTATTGAAGGTAGCAAGTTACCTTACGGATATCTTCACAATGATCGCGAAATGGCGTTGTTGTATCGTAAATTCTGCTCTACAGACCCCAGTTATGCATAGGTTTCAACACCTTGCCGTAGAACTAAAATCGTCTTCCATTTCACATCGATGACTTAGGTATTCCATCTTCTTTCCATGTGATAGGTCATCACGCTAACTGAATACGACTCAGTTCTCATCGTAAAAGCTGTTATTTGCAACAAATCTCTTCTATTTCCAGGGCGTGGTTGAAAGAAATTTGGGAGTAATATTTTCTTTGGGAAGCGTCTTAAGTTTTCCAAAGAGAAGCGGCGATAATTGAGCCAGATGGCATATTTAATGAGTACAATAGTTAAGTTGTTTACCAAATGATCACTCGAACGGAACAAGAGCCTATTATGTGAAAGTCACTCAGTCACGATAACAACAAAGATATCAAAATATTGCCTTTGTTCACTTCTTCAAAGTGACTTCAGACAAGACTACGTCTAAAACTTGAGCCGGACAAAAATATACTGAAAACCAATTAAAACTTAATTCGATACCCAAGTAGTAATTATAAAAGCAATTCAGTTTTTTACAAATTTAAACAGTTCTTTGCCAGTTGATAATTTTCTAACTTGTTTATGCTGACATCAATCCTGAGTAAAGTTCACAATTTGCGTCATATCATTAGGAACAATTACCTTGCCTCCTTAGCTTCGAGATGTTTTCATTACTAAAGCAATGATCAATGCTTGCCTCATCCTTCCGCTCTTTTTGAGCGAACTAACAACAACTGCAATAGCAATGACTTTCTCATATTCTAAGCCCTTTGCATCACATCAGACACGAAACTAAACTTGAACTTGAAATTTCCTTGAAATTTTCCACAAAGAAAGGAAGCTTGAAATATTTGATTTGCAAACAAATGATATTTTGATATACACAAATGAAGAGAATTTCGAATTATCATGGTGTAATTTTTAAGAGCAAACTTTATTCTAGCAATAGAACCCTTACGGTATTAAAGCCATTGAGGCTTTTTCAATCAGAAAGCTTAACCTTTAAAATGATACTGTTGTTGCACCTGGTGCAGTCGATTTGGAATGGATACTTAACTTCACACATGTATGTTGTGCTGGCCAGGAGAGAAGGAAATAATTACGCAATTTATTTTAATTACGAGGATAACAGGATACCATAAAAGATAGTTTTAAACGTTCGAAGACCCCAAGCTTGTGATAGATTCAAAGAAAATTGACTTCAAGTCAAGAAAGGGGTCCGTCATTAGAACATTTGGTCTAGAAAGCAGGCTATTCTTCAATCTCCAGCCTCAAATATAGTACCATAAGATTGAGGTAGTATCGTCTGATGTTTCAATAGTTCGAGTGTTCTTCTTCAACCGACAGGTGTAGTTGGTAATAACAGCTACTAACGATTGAGATACTGTAGAGAAGTATCAGTCGATTAGAAAAACCTGGAGACATTGATAAATTGTTTATCATCTGCTTACCCTTCCTTTTATCATGTTCTGATGAGAGCTTTGCTAACTGTACCATTAACAGAGTGATGCAAATAGTTCGATTTCTCAGTCATTTGGCTTTGTCCAAGATGTCTCACTTATTCTCAAACGTACGCATAGTTTGATAAACAAAAGGAAAAGTATTCTGTCATGGTCAATGATGCATAGTGAGTGCGGTTTCTCTAAGATTGTTAGCAACAGGAAACTTCGACGAGAGCATTTTAATAACCAAGGTAATATTAAAGGGAAAAATGGCTTGTAGTGGGTCCTCAAGTGCGGCTAACCACCAAAGTTCCGTATAAGTCAAAGCTCTTTTGCTTTCCTCACCAAATGCCCATATATTAAGGTTTAAAAAGAAACAACCTGCCAATGATTTGTGATATTGGGCCCTCCAGGTGATAAGATTTCGATTATTATTCGCTATCACATGGTCTCTTGGATATTTGAGTATTGAAATACAAATTTTTAATTTTTGAGTGAAACTGTGTTTGGGTGTGGCTGCACTGTTTTCCTAAGTTATTGTACACTTTAGATACAGAATTTATATATCTCTAGTCGAGGTCTCCGAGGTGATTATGTTTTTTGGCACAAACTATTTTCCCCATCTTCAATAGACTGAAACAAAACCAAACCAGCAGAAGTGATTTACAAATGTCGTAAATGATAGCTCAACATACATTGATATTTGAAAAAGTCGAGCCACGTTTCTCAACGTTTTGGCTATCAGTTGTTATTAGTAAAACTTTTTATGACGAACCGAATGAATCTCTACAAGATAGTGGTAAAATTTGATGATTTTTTTTTTTCCATTTTCATTACGGTTATGACAGCAGTGATGATGATACAGATAATTTTGATAATGATGCTGGCACTGCTTATAATTATGAGTCTGATGATAATAATAATGATAATAAGAACAAAACCAATAGTAATAATGATGAGGCCATTGACACTACTTTTAATGATATTAATAATAATAATGATAATAATAGCTCTAATAATCCTAATGATAATGGCGGATGAGGCGCAGACAAGGCTCAGCAGAAGAGAAATGTAAGACTTTATTAGTTTCCAAAATGACAGGAGGCTTATGTTACTTTACTCGATCTTTTTAATGAACCATCAATCCCTAGTACGCCTGAAAATACGAACCACCCTTTTCCTAAGTGATTCTAACTTTTTTGTTGCACCCTAAAAAAAAAGGGAGGAAAGAAAAGAAAATGTGAATGACAAATGAAAAATAAAAAACATCAGATATTTTGGGTGGTGATAAGGTAACATTTCAGATATCCTGTAACCTTTTCGTTCTTTTCTTCATCTGCTTTGCCATAATTTAACTTGGTTTGTAGATCTACGATTTGCGCCCTGACGTCTTCAATCTCGCTACAGAAACAAAAGAGTTGATAATGTTTTTCATATAGCTAATCAAACCTGAAAACTGACCTGTAGATAACTGATGTTTCAGATGAGGCCTGTGACCTATTGGTTGTACGGTGGACTCTAGGCCGGGTCGGTGTGTTGCATACCTGGCCATGGGAAAGACCCATAATGCTTCTCTCCACTGAGGAGCATAAATGAGTACAGAAAAATTGTCGGGGAGGCCTAATGAAATGCTGGGGGGATAACCTTGCATCCCGACCAGGAAGATGGGGGGGGACGACATAAGCTCCGCTTCGGTTGGGTGGCCCTCCAGGCTTGAGTACAGACTTAACTTCTTTGTTATTCCAGTCACAAAAAAATTTAAGCATTTTTAAAAAGTACTTACGCTTGCCTCTCGTTCATCACCGACGCAAACTGAAAGAAATGGAACACTTTGATGAGTGAAAAATTGCGTAGATAATCGTTGTTATAAAAGCTGTTCCATATGTACTTAAAATTTATCATTCATGTACCTGTCGGAGCTATAAAAAGCTTTCCTAAGACAACAGCAGAATTCCAATTCCGTTATCTAAACGTCTTGAATTCGACAAAGTTCGAACAAAAAGTGGGTCACGTATTATTTCAGATTTTACGCGTTAGCAAGAGCACGAGTTATATTGACGCCGAAATATTGAACCAGCATGGAGAAGAAAATTAGCTAACACTCTCACTTAAATTAGCTTAAGATGCAGTTTACCTCAAGCCGGGCGGTTTCAAAATCCCTTTCAATCTGTTGCTCCGTTCTGAAAGAAGTTCATGAGAAGAAAGCATTGAGTCGTTGCTGCTTTAAAACTATCAGGTTGACTAAGCCTGCGATAGGGTGTATGCATCAACATACTTTCATTAATGTGTACATATTACTGAAAGATAGACTTTCCTTACTTTTTATGTTCTTCTATCAAAGCTCTTAGGGTCTGAAAGACACAAATAAACTATTAATAGACAAAATTTTCATTGAATGTCTTTAAGCTCACTAAAAGCACGAGACGTGTGGTTACATAGCATTTTTGCATTGCTTGAGAGGACGGCAGGAGTTTTCTAGATCAATCAGAGGGCGTCGTCTAGCACATCCAATTAATTTCCGGATTACATTGATTACTCAGTTGAAAGTGACTTTATGTTCTTTCTCAGATCTGTCACTCAACCAAATTCTCCGCATTTGTTACCTTCACTTGAATTTCGTCCTTTTTGATAGACTCCTCCAAACTTGAATTCTGAGGAGAAAATGTAAAATTATTTTCCATAAGCAATTTTGATAACAAAAAACAAGGATTATGATTTTAGGAAATAAACAAGAGTTAAGTTAAAGCTTTCAAAAAGAGGAGTTTCACCAACCTCTAGTTCTGCTTCTCTCAGTTCAGCAGTTTTCCTGAACAAAGTAAAAACGCCGATAACACAAATATCAAACTTTTTAAACTTGAAATTGTAGCGTAGAGAAATGAGAAAATTTCACATGGAAGTTACCTTTCGACATCATCATCCATAATCTGAAAAACAACAAAATTTTCATCCTGAGCAATTAAGATTTTCGGAACGAGGAAGAGAAACACTCCTTCCCGGTACTCTCTCGGCTTGGTCCCTAATGCTCTGCTTTTGAGCGTTTAAAAAGCTATTTCGTCAAATTCGATTAAAGGAGTAAGGTCGTGACTTGTGCATTTGGAGAAGCAGACTGAGGTTAAAAAAAGTCAAGTTGCATGAATGCAATCCCTTTTTTTCCACCTTCAGCCATTCGCGTTCCTTTCTGTTTTTAGACGGTTTTTAATTCTTTGCTATTTGATCTCTTCCAAGCTGCAATTAGCTGCGCTACATGTAAAGACTGATTGAAAACATCGTGACCTATAATCTTCTAACATTCTAATTTACTTTCAAGAAACCCCAAGCCACTTTCTCTTTCCCTTTTTTAAATATGCTTTGTCGCATCTACTTGCAACAGGGCTCATCGGTGACAGTGGGATTTCTTCTTCCTTTTGACCCAAAATGTGCATGTGAAGGGGGGGAAGAACACGGGCTTCTACGACCCAGCCCTCCCCCTGCCATTGCTATGGGCATACGATATAACACATTAAAGTGATGATTATTTCAAACAAACCTTTATGCCATTTTCATATTTTTGTATTTCGAATTCCTTGAATGCGATCTAAATAAATGAGAAATATGGATAGCATGACTTTTCTCAAAACCAAAATAGATTTTTTACAAGAATTGATAGGTCTTCACTAATTTTACTGTAGTTAGAATAAGGGGAGAAGCTTTACATTCGTATCAAAACTATCTGAGCTAAGTTTTTGCTTCGACAGTCGCAGATAACATTAGCTTTTAACCTACTTCGTTTGTGATGACATTCAATTTTTTCCTTTGATCTTCCAGTTCGCTGCAGGTAATACAAAAAAAAACACAAGATTGCTTTGCAACTCTCATGGACAATAGCAATAATTAAATGACAAGACACAACCGCTGACCTCAGGTTGTAAAGTAATTTACCTCCCATACTCCACTGTGATCTTGTCGGTCATCTAAAAGAAATAATGGAAAACTGATAACAGATATCGTAATAAAATATGATAAAAAAAGTTCCATGTTTGTCCCACCTTACAGTTTTTGTCTGTCACATGATCGTCTTCTATGCTCTTGATGAATAACTAATCAAAGCTCAAAGCCTTCAACCATTTAGGTATATATGCTGCAAAGGTATACTTTTTTAGAGACTAAACTAGCAAATCAGATTTTACTTTCTAGGTTGGTGTTATTCACCTTCAATCATCGGATCAATTATAGCAACCAAGGGCGTAGCCAGGGGGGTCCTGGGGTGCCTGTGGCCCCACCCCCCCTTGGTAGGCCTTCTCCTGACCAAACAACCTACAATATTCAGGTAGTGAAAACGCCATGACAATATCTTGGCCTGCCCACTTTTCTCTCACTGCTCATCCCAAAACTGTAACATGAAGTAAAACATGCACGGCGTGGAGGTCGACATAACAATCTCGTGAGTAGCCTCTGAGACACCCCCCCCCCTTTGAAAAATCCTGGCTACGCCCCTGAGAAACTACGCATCTACCCCTCTTCTAGCTTAACACTAACCCTTAATTGTTATCAGTTGGCTGCTTTTGGTTTAGGGGAGGGGTAAGTACGCAATTGCTCGGAAACTGACATTCCTTTGAATCTTCCTTGAATGCGAAAGGAGAGAGAAATTCTACCACAACATTGTAAAGAATACGCTGTGTTGTCGCATTTTCCCAGTCGCGAGAATTTCAAATTCACAGTGCTCTTAGCTTGCAATTTTAAGGCAACGATGATTCATGAAACACACGTGGCGTCCGTTGACAAATAAAAAGGAGATAGACGATCACTAATAGTCCACTTTACAGTTGTGTGCTTGGTTGCCAAGCCTTTTAACGGGAGTGAGGAGAGGGATGACATTGTTATGATACAAACCTTGGTGTCTTTCAAATGTAAATCCCTTTGTTATCATGCTAGCTAGATACAGGTCTCTATTACGACAGGGTCATCTTTAGCCTCACTCCAAATCAAAGGCTTGGCAACTAAGTACACAACTGTAAAATGGCCTATTGGCAGCTTCTGTACGCCACTTTATTTTTAGGTTGTGAAGCTAAAAGCTGTTTACAAACCTGTATTGTCGTAGTTAATGCTGCTATGGTGGAAATCAAAATTTCAATCTAAAGGGAAATATAATAATGAAAAACAGTTAGTGTTCTGTTTATTCTTGGAATTCTACAGCAGAAATAAAATCAAAGCAGTCATTTAAGGCGGTTGAAATTCCTAAGTTTAAGGAGAGCGACACACGCTCTTGCACGTGAATAAAACCATAGACTTACTTTGTGTTCAATACCCCTTATTTCTTCCGTGAGCTGCGCATTTTTTCTACAGAAAGATATGAGAGGAAATAGTCAAGTTGCCTGTTGAAGAATTCTTAACTTTGTCGGATGGGGTACTTAAGGCGGGGGTGTGGGGTAGGGAAGATTAGTGTCCTAACTGAAAAGAAGATTTTTTCATTCGCCTAAATACTTTTAAATAAAAGTAGATCTTAGATTAAATAAGATGAACTACAAAACCCGTGAACAAGGATCTTGTTTGCATAGTGGATCGAAAAAGAACTACTAAGCAACACTTAAAAACCAAATCAATAAGAAGTTGACCTGTTGTTGCTTGCGCATGCTTAAAACTTATGGTGTGTTCAGAAAAAAAAAACAAAACAAAACAAAACAAAACAAATCCAAAGTTCAAACTGTTAAAAATTTAGAATACCTTAATTATACAAGATTCATTCTATGAATGGCGTGTTAAAGATTTCAAATTATATATAATGCTGTTTACCTCTCGAGTTCCTCCACATCAGAATTGCTCACGATTTCCTGCTTAGAAATCAAACGATTTATGAATCACATATTTGGCAAACTTTTCAGAATTTGTTGTAAAATTTGTGCCACCTTACCAGCTCCTGTCGGTCACGTGATCGTCTATCGTGTTCTTCCAGCTCCCTGAAGAAAATATTAAAAACGACAGATCACTCTCACTTTTGTTAAAATGATAAATCACCCTAACTTTTGTTATGAACGCCTACAGCCTCTAATCTTCAAGAAATGCCGTAAGTGGAAGGTCATTATAGAGGTCTAATGCGAAAGCGATGACAGATTCTTATACATTTCAGTTGTTCAACAAAACAGCTTTTTTTTTCAACGATTCTGATCGGAAAGATAGGTCTGCAGAATAACAACTATCATCGGCACCGGGAAACTGAGAAAATCGTACAAACCAGCACATTTTGCAAGTTATATTCCATTTTCATAACTAAAAACTACTGCACTGAAAACTTGTATCAGTGCGCTAATATCCAAATAACTACATACTGACCCCTCACCTAGCCCAACAACAACAGTCAACTAGTAACAAGTTGGTGCTAGTGTTGGGTTAGGGGAGGGGTAGATGCGCATTTGGTCAGATACTCACGCTGACCCGAAAATTCAATTAAATAATACGAGGTTGAATAGCATGTTTTTAAGTCTTGCCTCGTGTAGCGTTCGTTATCCTTCTCTAACTTTTGCAGCTCATCCTGTCCACAGATAAAAGATTTAGTGAGACATGAATAAGGAACATTGCGAAGTCAACTTGTCGAAGTGTTTTGACGAAAGCATTGTCATAATAATTTAAATAGAAACCAAAAGCCAACAGGACCGGATCCAGGCATTTTTGACAGGGGGTCTAAAATGTTTTTCGACCAACCCATGTCCCTACTCAGCCTTCCCTCTTGGTTAAAAACAAAGAACAAAAAGAAACGAAGAAAAAGAACGTAAAGGCAATATATGATCTTGTCGTTGTAAGAATATTGATGTCAGACAAGAAGTGAAAAAACCCACAGGAGTGGGAAGGGGGAATCTGGACCCGAAGGCGCCCGGACCCCCTGACCTCCCTGACCCCCCTGACCCCCTGACCCCCTGAACCACGGACCCTCCCTTTGCTTCGTACCACTGAAGAAAACAACCCTCCTAGACTCGAGAGATGTACAGATAGTAAGTAAGTAAGTAATTAAGTAAGTAAGTAAGTGAGTAAAACCTTTATTTAAACACGATAAGTATTGAAGCTATGCAGCTTGTGGGGTCGTGTATAGGTATATAAATAAAAAGATACATAGACAGTAGTTGTAGTATAATATGAAATAAGACTTATGTGTAAACGTAAGATCATGTTTAGATTAATAATTGATAGTATTATCTAGCTAATAAAATTATAGACCTTAAAATACTTCCCTTAGGGAGGAACTATCTTTTACAGAATAAATTAGAAAAGTTAATGTCCCTGACCAAAGCTAGCTTTTTAATCATCCTGAAGAAACTTTTCACACTATGCGCGTTACGACACTCGATTGGTAGGTAATTCCACAAAACTGACCCTCTATAAGATATGGAATGCTTTTTGATATTCGATTTCAAAGGCGGGATTTCCAACTTAAGACTGTTCCTTAAATTATACGAGGTTTGCGATTTCCCAATATGTGCTGTCATACAGGATGGTAAATCATTGTGGTACATCTTATAAGTTAGTTTCAGGATAGATTGTTTATAGAAAGTTCTTAGAGTGTCCCATTTAGCCCTGGTGAGAACTTCCGCTGACTGTATATCCTTAGCGAAATTGAAAATGACTCTTGCTGCCCTTCAGTGTAGTGAAA